AAAGAATTTAAGAAAGGAAAGAAAAATAGAATGTTATACTTACTCACATATTTACTATTTTTGACTTCTTCATTGCATTCTACAAACCTAAGTTTGCATCTGGTACCATTTGCCTTAATCCAGAGAACTTTTTTTTGAGCATTTCTTAAAGTTTGGGGTTTTTTTGATGATGTGTTCTCTCAGCATCCATTTATCTGAAAACATATTTGTTTATCTTAAATTTTAAAGGTCATTTTTGAGATGTCAGTTTAAGTCTTATCATGGCTCTCCTGTATGTATGTGGCTACTTTTAAGATTTTCTCTTTGATTTTTGGCATTTTGATTATGAGATGACTGGATATGGATTTTTACAAATTGGGGCTACATGAACTGTTTGTATTTGTGGTTTGAGGTTTTCAAAATTAGAAAAACTTTAGTGAATGTTTTTCCAAATATTTCTTCTGTCTTGTTCACATGTGTTAGATTGCTCAGTATTGTAGAAGTCATATGGTTTTTACATCTTCATGTATTTATCTTTTCGTGTAGATTCTTTTACATGTGTATCATAGTAAACAAACTTTAAAAATAAATCCCAACATTTGGGTTTGCTGTCAATCCATTTCTTCATATTTTGTCTCTTGACTCTATATCACATTTTTTCTTTATGTTAAGTAAGTTTCAGTTGACTGTTGTCTGTTGTGGATGATATCTTGTATAAACTCTGGGTAGTGTGGATTTCAGTCTTTCTTTGAAGTGTAGAGCTTTATTCTAGCAGGTAGTTCACCTTGGTCCTGTGGAGGCTTGGTGTTAGGCTTTTTTTAGACTGTTCATTCCAGTTTTGTCCTCATTTCTAATATGTGGTTTTTATTCCTCAAATGTGGCTTTTCTGGAGTTTCAATGAAAAGGCTGGTGTATTTACCAATTCCTTCTAAATCCATCCTGATTCTTCAGGACTAGGTAGCTAATGAAATCTCTTCCTATTTCTTTTAGATTTCTAGTTATTGCCTCTCCCTGGGCTTTTTGGATTTTCATCCCATGCATGGGAGTTCAAGAGTCAGTTCCTTGACTCTCTTTTTTTCCAGGATTTCTGCCTTCAATTTCTATCTGATTTAGCAGCTCCAAAGTTTATTCCTTGATTCTTCCAGCCAGTAAGACTACAGCTTTGTATAAGAGCTCTGTCCTCTTTCCCAGCAACCACTGGGCATGACACAGACCTTGTAGTTCCCTCAGGATAAAAGATGGATAAACATGGACTTCATTCAGTGTTTTTCCTGGGGTCCAGGGTCACATCTTGTCCAGTTGCTGTCTGCTTTTGTTTGCTTGTCAATGTCTTCAGTGTTTTTTTTTTTTTAGCATAGTTTGTTCTAGAGTTTATAATTGTTATCAGTAGATTGTATGGGTTTGTATAGGATATCAGAAGGATCCAAATCAGGAAGAAGTAAGTATGTGTACACACACACACACACACACACACAGGAATATTATTCAGCCTTAATAAAGGAATACACATTATTTGCAACAACATGGAAGAACCTCAGGGGCAAGTGAAATAAGTTAGAATGACAAATAGTGCATGGTACCACTTACATGTGTAATTAAAAAAAAAAAAGAGTCTAACTCTAAGAAACAGATGGTAGAAAAGTCTTGCTAGGGGCTGGGATTTGGGAGAAATTGGTAAAAGGCTATAGATTTTCAGTTATAAGGTAGGTAAGTTTTGAAGATCTAATATAACGTGACTATAGTTGTGAACATTGTATTGTATAATTGACATTTTTTAAGAGAGTAGAAGTTAAATGTCCTCACTTGGGTAAAGAAAGTACCTACATGGGGTGACGGATGTGCTGACTCAGTGCTGGGGAATGATTTCACAGTGTATACAATGTGAATCATCATGTTGTATACTCCAAGTGTCTTATAATTTTGTCAATTATATTTCAGTATGGTGGGAAAAAGGTTGTTTTCAGACAAAGACTACAACTTAAAATCGTTAGGTCCTCACTGAGAGACCTACTAAAAGACATATTTCAGCAGAAAAAAGTCCAGAAGGAAAGCATAGGATCCAAAACAATGGTGAGCACAAATTGATGAAATTCTTGCAAATTTGCCCCTTAATGGCTAAGAGTTCATTTTAGATGATGTTCTCTAATTGAGTAAAAAAGAATGTAATAAATGAAAAGAACATTTCTAGAAATTGTTATTTTTGAACAAATTAAAATTTTGAAATTTGTGTATCCAATTGCAGGTGGACTTCAAAAATCTTACGGTTTTAACAATTGCCAGTTTCTTGTTTCTCTACTCACTGGAAGTCCCCAGTTATTTGAAGAACTAAGTATTAACTCTAGTATTTTCTCTAGTTTAATAAGGTTCTTATAGTTAGATACAGAGCTAAATTTCACCTTGCACTTTATTTAATTTTCTTTCCTTTAATGTCTAAACTTAGTATAGTGCTTGGCACTCAGTAAATGCTGTATGCCTATGTTTGCTGTCACTTTCCCCTTCTCCCTTCACATGGCTCTGCTCATGATTTAAGTGAGTACATCTGTGGGAAAGGTTGTCAGATTTTTAGCTCTTTCACATATCAATCTCATGTTTTAGCTGCTAGCTAGATGCTTGTGTAATTGCCCCACTTCCATTTCTAAACAAAAGTGTGTAAAGCAGCAGTCTTGATTCTCCTCACCTGCCCGTGTCAAGGGGCAAAGTCTTCATTTCCTCATTTCCATTAATGGTATTATAGGTCTCCCAAACCTGAAATCTTCACACTGTCTTTTACTTCTGGCTTTAAAAACATTTTTTTAAAAATTTGACTATAGTTGAAACAGAGTGTTGCTTTAGTCTCAGGTGTATAGCGTAGTGCTTCCGCGTCTCTGTACATTCTGCTGTGCTCACCCCGAGTGTAGCCGTAACACTACTGCACTCTTGTACGCTGCTACAGTAGCATTAACTGTGTTCTCTGTGCTTTGCCCTTTATTCCCCTGACTTATTCATCCCATGACTGGACTCCTGGCTTCTGTATTCAGTTAGTTACCAGGTTGCATGAATTCTTGCTGTTATATTACCATTCATCATTCAGCTGTTGTGGTTTCAGTTCAGGATCTTACTACTACCTAGACTATTGCAGTAGCTTTGTAACTGTTTCTGTTTCAACTTTCTAATTGATCACTGACTGTAGGATAAAGTTTAACTTCTTTGATCTGATCTATTTATTTATATATTTATTTTTAAGTAGGCTCCATGACCCTGAGATTAAGAGTCGCATGCTCTACTGACTGAGCCAGCCAGGTGCCCCTTAAATTCTTTGATATGATATTCAGACTTTTCTTAATATTGCACCATAGCAGTTAGGATTGCATTCATTTACAAATAATAAGATGTCTGGTGGTAGATAGGTGATTCTTTTTTTCTTTTTTTTTTTTTTTAAGATTTTATTTATTTGACAGAGAGAGACACAGCGAGAACAGGAACACAAGCAAGGGGAGTGGGAGAGGGAGAAGTAGGCTTCCCACTGAGCAGGGAGCCCGATGCGGGGCTCGATCCCAGGACCCTGGGACCATGACCTGAGCTGAAGGCAGACACTTAGCGACTGAGCCACCCAGGTGCCCCTAGATAGGTGATTCTTGACGTTGATTTGGATGCTTAAGTTTGCTAGGTGTTTTTTGTTTTTTGGTTTTTTTTAAGATTTTATTTATTTATTTGACAGAGAGAGACACAGTGAGAGAGGGAACACAAGCAGGGGGAGCAGGAGGGGGAAGCAGGCTTCCCGGGGAGCAGGGAGCCCGATGTGGGGCCTGATCCCAGGACCCTGGGATCATGACCTGAGCCGAAGGCAGACGCTTAACGCCTGAGCCACCCAGGCGCCCAAGTTTGCTAGGTGTTTTATTCTCTTGGCATTTCCTTCCTGGTTGCTTCATGGGTTTTTTTTGTTTGTTTGTTTTTTGTTTTAATTTATTTATTTGACACAGAGAGAGAGAGAGAGAGAGGGAGATCACAAGCGGGGGGTGGGGTGGGGGGTGGGTAAAGGGAGAGGGAGAAGCAGGCTCCTGGCCCAGCAGGGAGCCTGATGTGGGGGCTCGATCCCAGGACCCTGCGATCATGACCTCAGCCGAAGGCAGACGCTTAACTGACTGAACCACCCAGGCACCCTGCTTCATGGTTTTAAAGTGATTGCCCTACCCTATATTTATGCTCAGAGGCAGGTAGGAAGGAAGCGAAGGGGGAAAAGCAAAATGCAAAAAGGAAGCGAAGTCAGCTTCCTTTTAAGGAGTGCTCCTGGAAGTACCACCCAGCAACCTCCACTTATATCTCATTTGTTGAAACTGGTTCACGTGGCTATCCATCTGTGGGGAAGAACAGTTCTTAGGGGGGTATGTTGCTCTCCCCAACAAAATGGGACTCTATCAAGAGGGAAGGAAAAATGTATTTAGTTGCAATTTGCCACAAATATCTTTTTTTAAAATCCTTTCCTAAATGGTATAATTTCTCAAATACTGTACTTCAGCCCAATAAATTAGAGATCTTGTACCTTCCTACTTCCCAGCACAGTTCTACTCTTCTAGAATGTTGTTCATCTTTCATTCATATAAATCCAGTCTGTTGTACAGAATCAGTTTTAAATGTGACCTCTCTAATAAGACTAATCAGTTTAAACCCAGTTTGAAATGTTATTTATCCCCTCCAGATACTAGCAAGCAATTGTCACAGTAATTAATTTATTGAGAATTTATGTTGCCTTAGTGGGATCTCTTCTCCTGGTGCCTGTGACTCATTTTTGTTTGTTTTGTTAATATTACATATCTGTATTATGTTTCCTCAGTTAACTTGTAAACTTCAGCTTTGTGGTCCTTGTCCACAGGAAGGCTATAATCTCAGTGTCTCTCACTGTGCTTCGTATATAGTAGCACACAATATTTATTCAGTTAATGAATTTAACAAAGTCACTGCTTTCAGTGACGCCTTCTTTATATATGAGGAATGCCTTATCGGTATCACTTTCTTTTGTAACTTACTGTTTTTTTTCTTAACAGGCAAATGTTCTGAATAAAACTCTGCTTGGGAATGGCTTGCCTTACAATGACAGAAATGGAAGGAACATCCGTATCTCCTGTGCAACAGAATGGTGATATTCCTGGAAACGCGAATCCCGTGAAGCAAATAGATCCACTCCTACAGGTGTATCTTTATCATTCTCTTGAGAAAGCCGAAGGAGAGTATCTGAAGTTTCCAACTGGGGAGTATGTTGCAGAAGAAATTTGTGTTGCTGCTTCTAAAGCTTGTGGTAAATATATAAAAAAATTATTTTCTCCTTGGGGCGCCTGGGTGGCTCAGTCAGTTAAGCGTCTGCCTTCGTTTCAAGTCATGATCCTGGGATCCTGGGATTGAGCCCCGCATCAGGCTCCCTGCTCGGCGGGAAGCCTGCTTCTCCCTCTGCCTCTGCTGCTCCCCCTGCTTGTGCTCTCTCTCTCTCTGACAAATAAATAAAAATCTTAAAAAAAACAAATTTTCTCCTTGTTAATAGATCATCACTTCAATTATGCTACTCTAATACAACGTACATGGATAACCTATTATTTTTTTATTTTTTAAAATGCTTATATGCCAGTGTGCTGTCAAAGGGAGAGCTGCCAGAGCTTGGAGACCTGTTTGCTACCTGGTGCTGCCTCACGCTGAGGGCTCTGCAGGCGCCGAGCTCCTTGGTTGCCCAGGTGCAGCTCTGGAAGTCCCTGGGGCAGCCGCTGCCCGCCACAGGGTTCAGGCAGCAAACTTTGATGGAGTGTGTTGTTTCCAACAGGGGAGAGTGCACAGGCCCAGGGAGCATGGCTGCCTGCCTCCACCTAGATTTCAAAGGATGGAGCCGGGCAGCCGGGAGCCTTGGCGTCAATCTCTGGTAAAGCTACAAAGACAGAAACCTTGTCCCCGTGTGTCCTGTAGGCAAGAGAACAGATTGTCATGTCAAAGAGGATTATTCTTAAGCCTTAGGTCTAATGGAATTTGCCCTGTTGGGTTTAAGACTTGCTTGGGACCTGTCACTCCTTTTTTTCTGCTCCCTTTTGGAGATCTTATGCCTGTCCTATCGTATTTTGGGAGCATTTAAATTGTTCGATTTCACAGATTCACAGCTGGAGTGCAGTTTGCTTCAGGATGAATGGTACCTTGGGTTCCACCCAAATATGATTTAATTGATATTCAGATGAGTCTTCAAACTTCAGACTTTTGAGTTGATGCTGGAATGAGTTAAGACTTTGGGGGCTGCTGGGATGGAGTGAATATATTTTGAATATGAAAAGGATGTGAATTTGGGGGTACCAGGGGCAAAATGGTAGGTTTCTATTGCTATGTCTTCATGTCTCCTTATCTTTTTTCTGCAGTTTTTACTCTAGAAGTTTTATTTGGATTGCTTTTTAATAGTTTCCATTGCCTCATCATGTTCGTGTTTTGCTCTACCTTCTTAGTAAAGAAGGTAGAGCAAAGATAGATAGCAAAGATAGAATATATTACAGTACCTGATTTAACTTTGTTCATTGGTAATTCTACCATCTCTGTCATTTCTAGGTATCCTTCTACTGATTGATGTTTCTTCTGGTTATAGGTCATATTTTCCTGCTTTTTCAAATGCCTACAATTTTTGATTGGATGCTGGATATTGTAATGTAAATTTGCAATTTACATTGTTGCCTGCTGGATTTTGTTGTATTCTTTAAACAGTGATGGACTTTGTTCGGGCGCGTGGTTAGGTAATTGGTGGTTTACTTAGCTGCTTTTGAGATCTTTTCCTCCTTCTCTTTCTTCTTCTACCTTTCGTTAAATAATCCAGTATTTCTAGTGTATTCACAGAACCATGCAGCTGTCCTATCAGTTTTTAGTATCCCCAGAAAGGAACCTCTTAACCCATCAGAAATCATTTTCCATTTCTTTCCCAGCTCCCTCAACAACAAGTCTGCTTATATCTCTAAGAATTTGTTTATTTGGAACATTTCATGTAAGTGGAATCATGCCATATGTGTTTTTTTGTGACAAGGAGTTGAATTCCTGAGTCATATTGTAACTTTGTCCTTAACCTTTTGAGGAACTGCCAGAATATTTTCCGGGCACCTACATCATTTTACATTTCCACCAGCCGTGTATGAAGGTCCCAATTTTTCTGCATCCTGATCAACACTTGTTATTACTGGTCTTTTTGATGAATGACATACTAGTGGGTGTGAAGTGGTATCTTATTGTGTTTTTTTGAAAAAGCTTTATTGATAAATGATTCACATATCATACATTTCATACTTTTAAAAAGTGTACATTTCAGTGGTTTTTAGTATCACCAGTCAATTTTAGAACACTTTTTCATCCCAAAAGAAACTCTGTGCTATCACTCTCAAACCCGTTCATCCCTCTCCAGCCTCAGGCATCCCCTAATCTATATTCTGTCTCAATACATTTGTTTGTCTAGATATTTCATATAGATGGGGTCATATAATATGTGGCCTTTTGTTACTAGCTTCTTATACTCATATATAATAGCCCCCTGCCATGGAAATCTTTAGAAAAGGTGAAAGATTTATGTGATCTGAAGAGAAACTCCCGAGTATTCTACTCATACAATTTTTGTGAAGTTCATCCATATTGTACCATCTGTCAGTACTTCATTATTTTATGGCTGAATAATATGCTTCTCTTTAGATAATGCCACATATTATTTAACCATTGATCATTTGCTGGACATTTTGGCTGTTTTAGTCTTTGTCTATCATGAATAATGTTCCTGTGAACATTGTGTACAATGTTGTGTACAGTGCGGATGGATGATTTCATTTCTGTGTGTATACCCAGGAGTGGAATTGTGGGTCAAATGGTAACTCTTATGTTTAACATTTGAGGAACTACCAGACTGTTTTCCAAAGTGGCTGCACCATTTTATATCCATACCAGTAGTGTGTCAGTGTTCTGATTATTCCACATCCCTAATAACACTTGTTATAGGACCTTTAAAACTTATATCCATTCTAATGGGTATAAAATGGTATCTTATTATAGTTTTATTTTTTTTCCAGATTACCAATTCTTTTGAGTATCTTTGCATTGCTTATTGGCAATTTGTGGATCTTCTTTGGAGAAATGTCTATTCATATCCTTTGTCCACTTTTTAAATAGTTTTTTTGTTTGTTTGTTATGGGGTTGTTAATAGTTATATTTTCTAGATACAGATCCCTTATCAAATATATGATTTGGAAGTCTTTTCTCCCATTTTGTGTTTTGTCTTTTCATTGTCTGGCTCTGGTGGTGTTCTTTGAGGCAAAGATTTTTCATTCTAATGAAACCTTTTTATTTATTTATTTTGTTGTTGTTGCTTGTTTTTGTGTCATATCTAAGAATCCATTACCAAATCCTAGTTCATGAAGAATTGCCCCTGTAGTTTCTTCTAGGAGTTTTATAGTTGTAGTTTTGCTTCACTTTGAGTTCATTTTTGCAGCTGGTTTGAAGTGGAGGTGCAATGTCATTTTTTTGCATGTGAATATCTATGTGTTACTGACTTCTCCCACTTTGTATAGTATTTATAGGGTTCATCTACGTTGTACCATGTATTAGAACATTATTCTTTTATGGCTGAAATACATTCAGCTAAATGGTATCAAATACATGATACAACATGGATGAACCTTGTAAATATTATAGGAAGTGTAAAAAGCCAGTAACAAATGAATATCTACATGCAAATCCCAGCACCATTTGATGAAAAGGCTATGATTTCCCTGCTCAGTAGTCTCAGAACCCTTTCAAAGTATTACTTGGCCATAAATGAGTGCGTTTGTTTCTGGATTTTCAATTCTGGTGTCTATATGTCTTAATGCCAGTACCATACTCTCTGCATCATCACAGCTTTGTAGTAAGTTTTATAATCCGAAAGTGTGAGTTTTCCAACTTTTCTTGTTCTTTTTCAAGATTGTTGTATTTTTTATTTTTTTTAAATCTTTTATTAGATTTTGTGTTAAAGTTTTTGTACTGTTATTTTAGGATTACCCTAGATATCACAATGTACGTTTTTGGCTTATTACAGTCTTAAGCTCGTATGTTAATAATTTTCTAAACAATTCAAGAACTTGAGAACAGTTTAAATCCATTTACTTCTCTTCACTTTTGGTATCATTGTTATCATATGTTTTATTTCTGCAGACATCATAAACCCCACAGGGCACTTACATTATTGTTGCTTTAATAGTCATTCTTTTGTATTTACCCTTTCCTTTGTTCTTTATTTCTGGTACTCCCATGCTTCTACCTGTCATCATTTTCCTTCAGCCTAAAGAACTCCTTTTAGTTTTTCTGTTATCTCAGATCTGCTGATGACAAATACCTTCAGGTCTTATTTATCTGAGAATGTCTTTTCTTTTGCTTTCTTTTTTTGAAAGGTACTGTCACAGGGTCTAGAATTCTTGGTTGGCCTCCCCCCCCGACTTTCATTCAGTGTTCTTACTATGTCATATTCATTCATTGTCTTTTGGCTTCCATGGTTTTTGTTGCCTATTAGTCTTTTATTTCTCCTTTGAAGGTAATATGTTTCTATGCTCTGGTTACTTTTAAGGTTTTTCTTTCTGTTCTTCATCTTCAGCAGTTTGACTGTCGTGTACCTATATGTTGTTTTCTCTATTTTGCTTCGGGCTCTCTGATCTTGCTGAATTTGTAGGTCAGTATCTGTTTAGCTTTGGAAAATTCTTGGCCATTCAGGGACATGTAAATTAGGTCAATTTGACAGGTCTTAAATGCCTCTTATACTGTCTTCAGTTATTTCTGTTCTGTTATTTTTTTGTCCTTCAATTTGGGTACTTTTATTGACTTGTTTTTGTGTCGACTGATTCTGTTTTCTATAGTATATTGTGTGCTGTTAAATCCCTCTGTTGGTCCATGGTTTAGTAGTATCAGTATCGCCAGGGAGGTTGTTAGAAATGCAGTATCTCAGGCCCCATCCCAGGATCAGTGAATAAGAAACTTTCTTTTTAACAAAATCATGCTTTTCAAGCTTTTCAACAAAAACCATGGAAGCCGAAAGACAGTCTCCAGGTTGTTATAATGATGAACATTAAATTTTGGGAAAAGTACTGGTATAGTTCATTCTAGCTCATTCAGTTAGGGAGAACAAAGAAACTGTTTATTTATACAGTTTATAAAGCCCAGTTAGGATTTACTCTTGGGATCTTTACAGTGGGACCCATGTTATGTGCCATGTACTTTGCTAAGTACTTTATTCATATTATGGCATTTTTATCCTTCCAACTATCCTATGAACTCTGT